AGGATGGCCCTCAAGGAGATGTTCCTCATATACTTGTTTTGCCTTGTGACTATGACATTAAACTGACTTGCCCATATTGAGTGATTGCAGTTACAGATGGACAGAAAAAGATGAATATAAACCATGCATGACAGAAGAAAGGAACTAAATACTACCTTCACTGAAAATGACCGTATCTGGGAAAAAGGAAATTGTGATCTATGTTACCGAGAACTTGTAAAGTACACAGATCTTTATGGAAGTATTTTCATTGTCAGAAAAGAAAATATATTGGCAAGTGTATAATGAGATCAGGCATACAGCCACCAAGAGTTATAGGCTGCCACTAATTACGGAGGTACGAATCTTAAAGCCATGTGACCTGGGAGAACAAACTCGTGTAAACCTATTGCCTTTGCAGACCCTGTTCTTCATTGTGAAATGCTATTTTCCTTAGCAGAATTGACCACAAGCAATCAAACTCATTAGAATGAAAAATGCAGGTTGTGTAAAACGTAATGGTTTTTGAAAATCTGGTCTTACTTTTAAGATGTATTCCAGAAGGATTTCTTTACAACATTCCCAATAGGAACTCAACCATTACAATTAAACCCCATACTTCTTACTACTTGAGATGGTCATCTGCCTAGAAATTCATCTTCTGCTGTTCTAGACAGGCTTATCACAGCTGAAATGAAAATATTAAATACAGCTTGCAATCTACTTACTTGCATTCTCATACAGTTATGAGTAACAATTCTCAGTACCATGCCACCAATTTTTGCTATCCAGATTGGAAAAGGGGTTCTTAAAAAGCTCTCAGTATTGGTTTACAGACACCATTGGTAGTCCAACCTGATTCATGCTACGAGCAAAGAACAAGTTTGTCCAGAGTAGCAGATTCAGAGGGCTGGCATTTCATGCGGGGACTTTTCACTGACCATTGGCCCTCACCTGGTGCACGCGAGGGACGAGGTGGCAGCTTTCACATTAGCCAGACCTGCATCGAAGCTAAAAGGGTCTCTAGCTAAAGCTAAAAGCTTTAGCACCCATTAACAGCAGTGAGAAAATACTGAGTGCCTTTGAGAGTCCCCCAAAGAAATACAGTTCTTATAGCACACTAATATTAAATACTGAAGAGAGGGTTTCATACCTTAAATTCCTCCAAGATTTTGTAATTTTTCCCATGATATTCACAAAAGTTTTTCACTTCTTTGCATTCTGGACAGCATCCATTGTGTTCCACTTTTGTACACTTTGGGTGGATTTTAGGGCATTCTGGTTGATCACAAACAGGTCCATCCTCAGTACAGACACAGGGACAGTTGGAATGTCCCGGGAAAAACCGTTCTCCCAGTTTGTACACAAAGCCACTGTCATCTACACAGCCCTTCCCTCGGTAGTCATCAAAGATCAGATTGTCATTACTGGAGGTCTGGTCCCCTTCGTCGGCAGGGTAGTCTTCATGATTGATGGCTGCTGGAGTGACCAAAGCGGGGATCACAAACAGAAGTATCCAGGCTTCATGGATATGAAGAGCCATCCCCCTCCTCAGCTTCTCCATGGGATCTCAATGCCAAACAGAAAGAGCTGCTTCCATAGGGAGACCAGTGTTGTCTGAAAACAAATATTTTTAAGTGAGAACTCAAAATTCCAAGGAATATTGACTTATAAAGGCCATACTTTCACCCCAGAATAAATCAGTGCTTGCAAACTGCACAGATAACTATCACTGTTTCATTTGAATTAAGCCTCTTCTCAATTATTGTTAAAGAGAATAAAGCACATGAAATGCATAAATTAGACACACGTGCCTGTAAGCATATGCCCACAAAATCTCTCTATAGAAATGGTGGCTCACAGAATCATCTAATTTTTACTTTCCTCGTTCGTGCAGTTGAGTTTTCTGATGCATCAGAAGTTAAACTAGATGCCCGAAATGACATGGTGATGGGCAGCTCAGAGGGACTTGAACCTAAGTTTAAGCATGGTCTTAACCTCTTGCTGTAGCCACTGTCCCTCCATGCTACATACGGTGCACAGCCCACTTCATTAAACTGAGGTGGGAAACCTGAATTGAAAAATGAGATAAGCATAATCTGGAGGTAGATCTGCATCCAGTAAGAAAGGTGGTGCTTGGTTATACTTGGTTTGCGAGAGGTGGAACAGTACAGAATGTTTTATATGGCATTTCTGAAGAGGAAGAGGGACTACCTGGGCTACCAACACAGCCCAGCCGGCGGCAGGTCCATATAATCCCGGCAGAAGCGAAGATGTAATTCTTCTTCTCCATTATTCAGCATTTCAGTAATTCCCAGAGAGAAACACAGACAGCAGGATGTTAAATGCCTGTGTAATGCATGGAGCCGCTGCAAAGGGGTTTGTCTGATTAAGCTGGAGCCTTGCTAAAACTTTGGGAGCCATGCAGCATGGCCCGACCTTTGGAGAGCTCTGCTGAAACGGCCGAGCCAAGGACTGACCCAGACAGGGAGAGGAGCTTTGCACTGCCCCCAGGAGAGTCAGCTCCAGGCGAAGGCTCCGTGTCTGCCCTGGGTGTGCCACTGGCTGCCCGCGGTGCCACATCGCTGCCACCACCACGCCGTCCTGCCGGCACGCCAGCCTACAGCCCGTGCAACCCCAGCAGCAAAATGGTTTCTGACCTCTCTTAAGGGAACTGGGCAAAGTATTACAGGAAACTTTTAAATGAGATGAAACATTGGCATTGCATGGATTGAGAACGATGGAGGTAGTTGCCGGCACACACCAAAAATAGACTGTTTGGATGTGTGTGTCATTCCTTCCCTTCCTCCGTTCCCGTAGCGTGCACACACAGATACACACGGTATATACAAACAGGCATTAACCTACACACACAGGCAAACACGAACCCCCCCCCCCCCCCCCCACCCCCCGGCCAGGTATTTTTTATGTTTTGGGATTTTTGGTGGACTGCAGATGTTCAGCAATTAATTCTCCCTTAATTGAAGCAAAAAAGCAGCAGCAGGAGGAGAAAGCTTTAATCCTAGAGAAGCAGCTAAGGGATCCTGTTGACAAAGCAGTTTTTCCAAAGCCACAACAGAGGGAGACACCGGATATTACACAAGCTTTATCAAATTCAAAAGATATCTTCTTAATTTAAGTACTAGCTACGTTTCCATCACAAGGACTATGCACCGTGTTACTACTATCAGCAATACCTATTGTAACACGCTGTTTGGGAATCGGGTGATTCATGCAGATAGGGCTGCTTTACGGATCTACAGAGCAGAGATTCTTGCCCACCTAAATGCTACAGGTAGGTTGCAATATTGCAGATTGGTGGGCATTTAGGGGGAAAAAGCAGAACATGAAGCAATTCATGTCTGAGGAAATGTGAAACAATCAAGAGAACGTGTTGAAGTTTGATGAGGAAGCTCTCCAAATTAAAAAAAAAAAAAAAAAGTTCTCATAGATCATAAATAAGACCACTACATTGTGCTACAGTCTGTAGTCACCCGAGATGTCCCACAGCAACTCACGAGCACTCGGCTCAGCGGCGATCCTGGAAATCAGACAGACTGCAGACGTCTTGCACGGACAGATTTCAACAAGTAAACAAATGCTGTTCAGCTCAGAATTAGTTTACAGCTGAACTTTCTCATCATTTCTCATCGTGAGAGAGGCCAGGATCGTAGGTAAGTCTCTGAGTAACACGTTTCCATCCGCCTTCCCTCACCCCAAGTGAATAATTTACACTTACCTAAACAGGCTCGACCTGAAAGCTGGAAGGGGTCACAGGCCAACATGGACTAAAAGGTTAGAAAGAGATCAGCGAAAGCAGTTCCTCCTAATCACATTTTCAGTGTTGACTCACGGACCATCCCTTTTCCTCCACCTCTCATCGCAAAACAGGGGAAAGCGGCAGCCCAGCAACCACAACATGAGAATTAAGCTTTAACCCGGCGCTGAGGATTCAAAGCCAGCGGCGGCGAGGCGGTCCAGAGGCAGGGATGCCGCGGAGAAACCCCGATGCCAGCAGCACAGTCATCGCGGCGAACTTGGGCTGGATTTCCTCAGGTCT